CGTCAATTGTCCACCGTCTTCATGGCCTTCATAGCTTTAAGAAGGAACAAATAAAGCAACTACGATCAGCGAAATTAAAGTATGATATGAGAAAGTAATGCATGTTCAAAAAGATATACAAATTAAACCTTGGAGGTGCTCCGATGAGACGCAGCACAGATCCCCTGTCAACATATTCAGACATGTCAAAGCGAACTAACATCTTCTCGCTGTCAAATAGCTGCACAGCAAGAGCTTTTGCAAGCTCTGTCTTTCCAACACCAGACAAGCCTAAGAAGAGAAAAGAGCCTATGGGTTGTCCAGGCTGATCAAAGCCGGCTCTGGAACGTAACACTGCTTGTGCAACCAGATTTACAGCCTCATCCTGGCCAACAACTCGCTCCCGCAGTCTGCTCGCTAGGTGAATTAGTCTATCCTTCTCCTCTTGGTCAAGTGCAGTGACAGGAATTCCAGTCCACTGGCTCACAACCTTCAAATAACATTGTTAAAATTTGCATGACAAGCATATCTCGTCGATCAAAACAGTACAAAACTGTCATTAGGAAGAGAATGCCTACTTGAGCTACATGATTAGGGCAAACAATTGCCTCCTTCACTGCATTTTTAGAGCTACACTGCACAGTGTTAACATTCTCTTTTTGGTCGCCAACTCGCATCATTGTTTTGGTTGCTGTGGCACAAGCCTCATCAATCAGGTCAATTGCCTTATCAGGAAATTGACGACCTACAGTATAGACATCAATAAAATCTGTCAATTAACTCCAACATATATACAACTCGGCAGAAAGAAAGCACCTGCTCCATTAATTGATGCATCTGAACTATCATGAATTTATTCAATACCGTAAACATGATTTATATACATTAGTTAAACCAAATTAAACTGAATGCATGGGTTGCGACATGGGTGCTCCACAACAGTCTCATGCAATAATTCTGCCCTTCAATTGCACATCAGAACAATTGAGCAGATAGTTTAATTAGAATGTGAGCTAGTGGACCTTAACAAGAATGGACATCTGACCATAATAACCAATTAAAGATCATATATAACCCTGTTTCTTCCCTTCATGTTTCATTACGCTTCCTATAATAAACTAGATGAGTTCATGCATCTACTAATCACCTCTGGAAACAAAAGGAAAAAAATTAATTCCTCACCGGTGATGTAGCGGCCAGCGAGCTGTACGGCAGCAACAAGAGCGGCATCTTGGATTTCTAAGCCATGGTGCTGTTCATACTGCTGCTTTAGCGCCCGCAGCATGGCAATGGTGGCCTGCGCGCTAGGCTCCTCAACGTGCACCTTCTGGAACCGCCGCTCGAGTGCGGCATCCTTCTCAATGTACTTACGGTAATCATCAAAAGTCGTCGCACCCACACAGCGGATGCGACCACGGGCCAACGCCGGCTTCAGCATATTGGCAGCATCCTGGCATCCCCCCCTCACTGCACCGGCGCCGAGAAGCGTGTGCATCTCGTCGATGAATAGAACTATCTTGCCACCTGAATCCTCCGCCTTCTTTATCACGCCTTTCAAGCGTTCCTCGAACATGCCACGGAACATGGTCCCGGCCACCATCGCCCCGAGATCAACATCCACAACGCGAGCCCCGGCAAGTGCTGCAGGGACCTTCCCGGCAGCGATGCGCTGTGCAAGGCCCTCGGCGATGGCTGTCTTGCCTACTCCTGCAGCACCGACCAGCGCGGCACAGTTCTTGGTCTTGCGGCAGAGGATGGAGATGACACGGTCTATCTCGCTGTCGCGGCCGACCACCGGGCTGACTGCCTGTTTGCTGCAGGCGGTCATGTCACGACCGTAGCTGCGCAGGCACACGGTGCGCTCGTAGTACCGCCACGCTGCCCAGCATAAACCAATGGCTGCCCCAGCACAGAGAACGCTCTCCACGCTTCCATACAACCTAGATGCATGTAACAAGAACCGATCCAAGACCACGCCTGTCGGAGTTTCTCCATCAGACGCCATAATACTCCAGGTCCCGAGCAGGGAATCGTAAGTTGAGGTCCGTTCCATACGGCGATGGCGATGAAAAGACCTGGCCTGGAAAATACACTGCAATGATTCAACGTATTGTATATAAATATATATAGAGAAAAATTCATGTTGCATAAGTATCAGACTTCAAACTGTATTACATGGCGGAGTTGTAATAAATTTATTATTCTGTTGCTTTGGAAACCGAGTTGTCATCAAAATTTGTTCTTTTAGGGAGCGGTCGAAATTAGCAGGACTCCAAGATTATCCGGCGCGAACAATTAACTTGACACATATATCCAATTTCCTCTTAATTAACAGGAAAACTGTGACGGGGGGTGGGGAGGGGGTGGGGGATTGAGGGGAGAAAATAAATTACCCGAGTCGTGGGCGAAAATAAATTGTTCCTCCTCGCCGCCGCCGCCGCCGCCTCCTCAACTCCGCCCGCCGCTCCTCCAATGCGAGCCCTCGTCAGGTTCACGCCCGCCGGCGCCTCTCCGCCGCTCGCTTCTCCGCCGCTTGCCTGGAGCGAGCTCTCGTCGCCTCGACCTGGTCCGGTAACCTTACTTCCGGCCAAAGATAATTATAGTGGAGAAAACACATGTTTAGAAAATGCTAAAATGCTCTAAAATAAGTAAAACAGAAAAAGGGAAAAGAATAAAAATAGAAAACAAAGCTAACAAAAATAAAGAGAAAAAGGAACCCCCCCAGCCCCCCCGGCCAAATGGCCCAGCTAGCCGAC